AGCCACTTTTACCGTTTTAAGACGTCCCTTTTTCCTTGTGTAGATTAGTTAATTTTATGCACCCCATACCCATTCTGTGGGTGGTAGGTATGTGACACACACTATATTACTTATTCTTTATCCTTACACAAATCAACCCGATTACCTCCCTTTCCCAGGCATTGTATGAGCTTTGCAATTTCCCACAAGTACGTATACTGTAGTAACTATGAAAATGTATGACCCTTATAGGCTTAGTGCTTTTCCATATTATAAGAGGTATATTCTCTAATGTGAGCGCCCATCCTTCCTTAAAAAAAAAAAAATATTAAGGGATTTCTCTTCCTTGAAAAGGTGCTTCTACATCTTCAATTTCCAGCTCTAGAAATTTATATGTAATTCTCAAATTTTAATTAACTTGGTAAGAAGCAGAAATGTTTAACTAACCTCATTGTGACTCATCTTGGGCTTCTTACGTGATGGCAAGTGTTGTGCAATAGTTCTCTCATCTGTAGGAGCTGAATCTTGACTACCCTCATCTCCATTGTGCGTTTTGTTAATAGATCCAGCCTGAAGTTAGGGTTTTATTTTGTCTATATTTGCAATAACTTTTCCATCTAGAATCATTACTTTGAGTGGATTCCCTCGTATAACTAAGATGGCATAATTTTAAGTGCTAAACCCAGATGGGTCAGTGTTGCAAGTAAGGTTAGGGGTGTGGGAAGGGTAGGGATTAGTGCACATGTAAAAACTTGCATAATAGGTTAGTTTATGTTAAAAAAAATAGAGTATCTGCATCAAAGGTGGGGCCTTCAGCAAGGTTAGTATGTATTAGGCTGGTGTGTGTGTTGCCAAGAATGTGGTTATTAATGGGAGAAAAGTAATTTATGTGTTGTCCCTATTGTAAAAAAATTCTTAAATAATGATGGAAAAAACACTACAGTAAAAACTTGTTCATAATGGCCTATAACTGAAGATCTCTCGAGGCAGCTCCAATTGTTCCCTGGTTAAAGGGGCTCTTTAATCACAAACTGGACTTGGCCTTTCCCCTTCGATCAAACTTAAATACCTCCTATTCCCCAGGTGCTATATGTCCCCTACAGGTTTAGCATTTTTCCTCATTAGAATAAATTAATATTTGAAATGCTGTATACTGCAATTACAAGGTACAAAACAGAATTATTGTTTTCCTCTTCCATTTTTTTTTCAACAAACTGGCTGTTTCCCACCAAGGTATTGTAACCCAAAAATTAAGAAACACTCACCGTCATTTACTCCAACACTGTCTTGCCAGAGGGGCGGTGATACTACAGTTCAAAATTGCAAATATCCCCACCCGTCCTTCAGAGTGCAGGCACTGTACCTCCCACATCCAGGACTCTAAGTCTGGCTAACTGGTTTCCCTGAGTCCCTTTAAAAATGTTACTTTGTTCACACTCCAGTAGAACGTAAAGTTATAAAGACCACTCACGCCTATCTAACACACATTTGCACCCATAACCACCTTTCCTAGGATGACCCCTCCACTACAGATTTATATGCCCTCACTGTCTAAACCTCCTCACCAAACCCCTCTTTGGCCCACTGGGTAATCCTGCACCTCCTCCTAATTCTCAAGCTACGAATTCTCTGCATAATATTTACACACATTTCCACTGCCTCTAGCCTCCTCCTTGCTGCAATGTTCACAACCCATGCTTCACACTCATATAACAGCGTTGGTGTCACTATACTCTCATACATTCTCCTTTTGGCTTCCAAAATAATGTTCTCTGTCTCCACAGATGCCTCAATGCACCACCTGCATTTTCCCCCTCTTCTATCATAAACCCACCTACTAACAAGTCCACTCCCAAACATCTGAACACGTTCACCTCCTCCATACTCTTGCCCTTTAATCTGATATCAATATTTCATTATGTAAATTTTTTGTTACCCTCATCATCTTGCTCGTTCTAATGTTCACTTTCAATATACACCTACCATCCGACTTATGACCTGCTCGACATATGACCATTCGACTTAGGACCGTGTTTTGTATGCCAAATTTCTGGGAAATAAACAACTGTTTGTGTTGTACACAGTGTTTATCCTAAACCTTACAGCATAAAAAGTAAAGTAAAAAATGAAACAATAAAATAGTCATTACAATTTTTTTTTTCAAAAAGTCAGCCATCTCCCACCGAGGCAGGGTGACCCAAAAAAGAAAGAAAATCCCCATCATCATCATTCATCATCATTCAACACTTTCACCACACTCACACATTATCACTGTTTTTGCAGAGGTGCTCAGAATACAACAGTTTAGAAGCATATCCATATAAAGATACACAACATATCCCTCCAAACTGCCAATATCCCAAACCCCTCCTTTAAAGTGCAGGCATTGTACTTCCCATTTCCAGGACTCAAGTCCGACTACATGAAAATAACCGGTTTCCCTGAATCCCTTCACTAAATATTACCCTGCTCACACTCCAACAGATCGTCAGGTCCCAAGTATCATTCGTCTCCATTCACTCCTATCTAACACGCTCACGCACGCTTGCTGGAAGTCCAAGCCCCTCGCCCACAGAACCTCCTTTACCCCCCTTTCTCCAACCCTTTCGAGGACGACCCCTACCCCTCCTTCCTTCCCCTATATGCTTTCCATGTCATTCTACTTTGATCCATTCTCTCTAAATGACCAAACCACCTCAACAACCCCTCTTCTGCCCTCTGACTAATGCTTTTATTAACTCCACACCTTCTCCTAATTTCCACACTCCGAATTTTCTGCATAATATTTACACCACACATTGCCCTTAGACAGGACATCTCCACCGTCTCCTCGCTGCTGCATTTACCACCCAAGCTTCACATTCATATAAGAGTGTTGGTACCACTATACTTTCATACATTCCCTTCTTTGCCTCCATAGACAGCGTTTTTTGACTCCACATATACCTCAACGCACCACTCACCTTTTTTCCCTCATCAATTCTATGATTAACCTCATCCTTCATAAATCCATCCGCTGACACGTCAACTCCCAAGTATCTGAAAACATTCACTTCTTCCATACTCCTCCTCCCCAATTTGATATCCAATTTTTCTTTATCTAAATCATTTGATACCCTCATCACCTTACTCCTCTTTCTATGTTCACTTTCAACTTTCTACCTTTACACACATTCCAAACTCATCCACTAACCTTTGCAATTTTTCTTTAGAATCTACCATAAGCACAGTATCATCTGCAAAAGTAACTGTCAATTCCCATTCTGAATTTGATTCCCATAATTTATCCCACCCCTCTCCCGAACACCCTAGCATTTACTTCTTTTACAACCCCATCTATAAAAATATTAAACAACCATGGTGACATTACACATCCCTGTCTAAGACCTACTTTTACCGGGAAGTTTTCTCCCTCTCTTCTACACCCCCTAACCTGAGCCTCACTACCCTCATAAAAACTCTTAACAGCATTTAAGTAACTTCCCAAACCTATTCCATATACTTGCAACATCACCACATTGCTCCTCTATCCACTATCATATGCCTTTTCTAAATCCACAAATGCAATAAAAATTCCCTCCCTTTTATCTAAATACTGTTCACATATATGCTTCAATGTAAACACTTGATCTACACATCCCTACCCACTCTGAAGCCTCCCTGCTCATCCGCAACCCTACATTCTGTCTTACCTCTAATTCTTTCAATTTAACCCTACCGTATACTTTTCCTGGTTTTACTCAGTAAACTTATTCCTCTATAATTTTTATAATCTCTTTTGTCCCTTTCCCCTATATAAAGGGATTATACATGCTCTCCGCCAATCCCTAGTTACCTTCCCCTCTTTCATACATTTATTAAACAAAAGTACCAAACCCAAATCCAACACTATATCCCCCCTGCTTTTAACATTTCTGTCATGATCCCATCAGTTCCAGTGCTTTACCCTCTTTCATTCTACGTAATGCCTCACATACCTCCACCACCTTACATTCTGCTCTTCTTCACTCCTAAAAGATGTTTATACCTCCCTGGCCAGTGCATGAAATTACCCCCCCCCCTTTTCTTCCTCAACATTTAAAAGTTCCTCAAAATATTCTCGCCCTCTACCTAATACCTCCCTCTCCCCATCTACTAATCCCTACTCTGTTTTTAAACTGACAAATCCATACTTTCCCTAGGCTTCTTAACTTGTTTAACTACTCCAAAATTTTTTCTTATTTTCATTAAAATTTCTTGACAGTGCCCTCTCCCACTCTATCATCTGCTCTCCTTTTGCACTCTCTTCACCTTTTCTTTTACTCTCCATATACTCTGCTCTTTTAAAACCCACTTCTGCTTTGTAAAAACCTTCATAAGCTACCTTTTTCTCTTTTATCACACCCTTTTAAACTTCATCATTCCACCAATACTCCTCTTTCCTCCTGCCCCCACCCTCTATAACCACAAACTTCTGCCCCACATTCTAATACTGCATTTTTAAAAAATATTCCAACCCTCTTCAACCCCCCACCTACCCATCTTTGCACAGCCCACCTTTCTGCCAATAGTCGCTTATATCTCACCCGAAAATTCCCCCTCCCTTAGTTTATACACTTTCACCTCCCTCTTACTTGTTGTTGCCACCTTCCTCTTTTTCCCCTCTACCTCGTACTCTAACTGTAGCTATAACTAAATAATGATCCGATATATCAGTTGGCCCCCCTATAAATATGTACATCCTGGAGCCTACCCATCAACCTTTTATCCACCAATACATAATCTAACAAACTACTATCATTACGTGCTACATCATACCTTGTATATTTATTTATCCCCCTTTTCATAAAATATGTATTACTTATTACCAAATTTCTTTCTACACATTTGCTCAATTAAAGGCTCCCCATTACATTTACCCCTGGCACCCCAATTTACCTACTACCCCTCCCATAACATTTTTACCCACTTTAGCTTGAAATCCCAACCAAACCCTTTTTCTCTCACACTTGATTCAAATAACTCCCACGCATTCACTCAACATTTCCCAAAATCTCTCTCTCTCCTCTACACTTCTCTCTTCTCCAGGTGCCTTTCACATTTCCTATAACCACTACGTTTAATCACAATCTTTATTTTACTCAACATAATCCTTGATTAAATACATTTGTAGGTCCCTCTTTTCCTGCATAGCTTATACCTTCAAACATTATTGCTACTCCTTCTTAGCTCTACGAACTCTATTGGAAAACATGACCCTAATCCCCATTTATTCCTCTCCATTGAAACTCTCAACACCCTTCAGCTTTGTTATTCACTTAAGCCAGGGACATCAGTTCTTCTCATTCTTAACATCCACAATCATCTCTTTCTTATCATTTGCACAACATCCATGCGCATTCAGACTTCCACTTTGGACAATTTTCTCTTCTTATTCTTTTATAGTAATCTTTACAGGAAAAGGGTTTCTTGCGCATTGTTCCCGGCATTTTAGGTTGACTTTTACTACACGATGGCTTAAGGAGGAAAGGATTCTTATTCCACTTCCCCATGGTATATAAGGAGGGAATTAAGTAATAAGTCCAAGAATAATATTAAGATTAAATCAAAGATAAACTAAGATGAGTGTGTATAAATTAACGTTGTAAATGTATGTGTAGTGTGACCTAAGTTGTAAGTAGAAGTAGCATGACATTGCTGATAATCTTGCTATTTATTGAGACAGGAAAAAGTCACAGCAAATCCTACCATCATGTAAAACAATTACAGGCTTTCGTTTTACACTCACTTGGCAGGACGGTAGTATCTCCCTGGGTGGTTGCTGTCTACCAACCTACTACAAAAATGTTATGTTGATATTCAGTAGTAAGGTTCGACTTACGACCGGTTGGTCGGACGAAATAAAAAAACTCAGTCGTAAGTCAGGAAAGGTACTTGTATTCTTTTTACATATTCTCCCAAATTCATCCACCAACCTTAGCAACTTCTCTTCAGAATCTCCCAAAAGCATAGTATCATCAGCAATTGTGACAACTCTTACTTTGTGTTAAGTTCTTTATCTTCCAATCCCACACCTCTACCTAACATCCCTGCATTATTTCTCTTAAAAAACCCCATCTAGAAAATATATTAACAACAACAGTGACAGTCACGTATTACTGTTCTAAGACTAGTTTTAATGGAAAATCTCTCCGGCATACCTTCTACACCAGAGCTCTCACTATCCTTGTAAATACTCTAAATGCTTTCAGTAACCTACCACCTATTCCATTACACTTGCAACAACTGCTTCCCTTCACATATTTTTTATTATACCTTTTCCTCGTCTATAAATGCAATGAAACTTCTTTACCCTTATCTAAATACTGGTCAGTTATATGTTTTTATGTAAACACTTGTTCTACACATCCCCTACCCTTCCTAAAGCCTTGTTCATCTGCAATTCTACTCTCATATTCCTTTCAATAACAAACTCTACCATACACCTTTATGCTATACTCTAACAGGTTTATTTCCCTATAATTCTTACACGCTTGTTTCCTTGGCCTTTATACAAAGGAACTATGCATGCTCTCTCCCAGTCCCTCTATCATACATTTATTAAATAAAAGTACCAACCATATCCTTTTCTAATGCTACTTGCTCATCTACCATGTCTTCTGCTGCTTCTGTCTCTTCTACCATATCTTCTTTGTCTGTGTCTTCCTTCTCCTCTTCAAGTATCTTTTCAATTTCTTCACCATTTTCTGCTGCATCCTCCTCTTCTACCATATCATCTTTGTTTATGTCTTCTATCTCCTCTTCTACTTTATCTTCCTCCTCTTCTGTTTGGTCCTCTGACACCCTATCCTTTCCTTTCTTTTCCTCAGGTGATATAATGTTTTCATCTTCCTGTATTAAATTTTCTTCTTCATCCTCTTCCCCTACACACAAGAAATAATTAATCAGTATAAACCAGAGAGAAAGTTTCAAAAAATATATCCAATAAGTTTAAAAGTTTTTTTTAATATGCTATATGACCCTTTATGGGTTTAGTTTTTCCTAATAAAAATAATCGATAATTTAAAACTGTATAATTATTTTTACAATAGTCTCCATGTGGAAGTGGAAAAGAATTCTTCCTCCGTAAGCCATGCCTTACATGCTTCATATTTGAAAATTTAGGATTCTAAACTCACGTTCAAGATATATAATAGTCACAATAATTACTAGGTGCACACATCATTACCAGTGTTGTGGTGTGAGGGGCCTTTCATGGTGTGCATCAATGAACATATCTTTGGGTTAGCCATTATGAAGCTCACACTCCCTAGTGCTGCTTGGCAAGTTGACGCTACCTGTTTGTGGGAAATACATATTAATATCTGATGCAGTAATGATGCCCATGTCTTCAAATTTATGTATCTATAAAAAACCCATTTTAGATATGTGAATGCTCAAAGAGCCCTCTTCCAAACAATCCTTGTTCTTTTGATTGATTTGTAATATTTAATAAGTACTAGGACCTTGCAGCCATTCAGCACTTTTAATGTCTAGCAATAACATTCCTGAAAAATCAGTATCTCACAAAATTTAATAAAGAAGCCTCCATTAAAAATCTGATCAAATTATTTTAAAAAGTTTTCACTTATTTCTATACATCAGTGAAAAGACCCTGAACCTAGCTCCAGTTCTGTAAATACAAATAGGTAACTACATATAACCTAGGTAGTAGGTTGGTAAACAGCAACTACCCAGGGAGGTACTACCGTCCTGCCAAGTGAGTGTACAACGAAAACCTGTAATTGTTTTACATGATGGTAGGATTGCTGGTGTCTTTTGTCTGTCTCATAAACATGCAAGATTTCAGGTATGTCTTGTTACTTCTACTTGCACTTAGGTCACACTACACATACATGTACAAGCATATATATACACACCCCTTTCTTTGTAGTTCTTGTTCTTGTTTATTTCCTCTTATCTCCATGGGGAAGTGGAACAGAATTCTTCCTCTGTAAGCCATACGTGTTGTAAGAGGCAACTAAAATGCCGGGAGCAAGGGGCTAGTAACCCCTTCTCCCGTATAAATTACTAAATTTAAGAGAAACTTTCGTTTTTCTTTTTGGGCCACCCTGCCTTGGTGGGATACGGCCGGTGTGTTGAAAGAAAGAAAGAACTACATATAAGCTATTGCATTACCTCTACCTTCATTCCAATGAGATTTGTGGATTTAAATGCAGCAAGATCCAAAGACACAAATGTGATAAATCATTAAAAAGTCAACAAGCTTTCACACCAGAGTATCTGAGTCTTGATGTCCCTTCTGAAGGAGGTGTACGATCATGGTATAAGATGGTGGACATCCTGGGTGTGGATGAGTTGCTATACTGCCCAGTGTTTTATACAGCTGTGCTCGAGTTTTCCCATCCTTATATGTAATGGGTATTGTAGTAACACCTGTCACAGCTGCAGCAACAGACATCACACTTGTCTGAAGTAACTGAAAAATGTTATGAATATGGAATTAATGTGAGAAATTTCATCAGTCATTTTATCAAAAGACGAAAACTTTTTCCCATGAATCTGACCACCATTTTTATTTGTACCCTGATAACTACCACTAAATATTTCTTATACAGAATTTTTCTTCAAGCACATATTCTTTCTGCCTCTTGCTTGCAACACGAAGCATGTGTGGAACATTAAGACCCCTCAGCAAGCACACTCAGGTGGATGGAATATAATCTCTGCCCCCATCCAGAATGACAGTGACCACAGCCACCAGTTTTATATTTATACAACTTCCTCCCATGTATTCCACTGACAAAAATGATCATCCCTTACCCTTTCTATATGTCCAACCCAACATAATATATTACTCCTAACTCAGACCTAGTCTTAAGTTTCTGGTACTCCCTATCTTGTACAATATATACCTCTCTTACTTATTCTTGCTCCTAAATTGCATTTTGAAAGACAAACCACTGGCCTCCACGTGGCAGGGTCTGGTAACTCAGAGATAACTAACTCTGAGTTACCAGACAGTGGTTGTAAACTTTAAATTAACCCTATCTCCTGTATATATTATTAAATTTAAAAGGAGAAACTTTTGTTTTTCCTTTTGGTCCACCCTGCCTCGGTGGGATACGGCAGGTTTGTTGAAAGAAAGAATTTTAAGTCAGTATATATAATAATTCCATACTCATATTTAAGTTGCAAACATACACCTCATCTGGAGCAAGGGGCCAGAAACCTCTTCTCCTGCATAAATTACTAAATGTGAAAATAACAAAGGCTTTTGTTTCTACTTTGGGTCACCCTGCCTTGGTGGGAGACAGCTGGCATGTTAAAAATAAAACTTACATCTCATAACTTTCTATTCCTCTTAGCTCTTTTAAACTGCTATCACTCATGGAAAATACAATGGGATAAATCATGAAGTAGAGGTGTTAGAGGTTTTTCTACTCCAACATTTTTTGAATACTAGAAGAATTATGTTTAAGCAAATGCTAAAAATGATCAAAACTTACTTGTTGAATTTTTTGTGTCATAGAATGAGTAGCATAAGTGAATAAAGCTTCAATTAGACTCAGTGCAACTCTAGCTACACGGGAAAAGCATTCGAGGTACGGCAGAGGATTTGTGTTGCTTCCACAGTCTGCAACAGTTACGGAATATCCCTTTTTCTTGCTCTTTTTTTTTGAGAGAGATAGGGAAGCCAGTCCCTTATTCTGTTTGTTCTGTAAAAAAAAAAAAATAGTAGAAGAAATGCTAAATACAGTATATTCATATCTACTTTTATCAAAATTTGATCCTGAACATATTACATAACATTTAAATTGTTGAAAAAAAATTGTAAAATGTTAATAAGTGGTATCAAACTGTTACTAGTTAGTGACCTGTCTCAAACTGAAAAACACACTTCCACATCCCCCTTAGTTTACGTTATAATTTCCTCCTTATTTTGCTTCTTTGTATATTTTACCAAGGCAAACTTTGTTTCCATAAATGCTTTTATTTTTATGGAATGAAACTGTAACACAAGATCATACTAGCTATATTAACTCATCACTATTCATTCCTCATACCAATAATTTATCTACTGCATATATTCCCATTAAAGTGCCCTTATATTGTCTCAGTTGACGACATGCAAGTTATTATCAATATACAGTGGACCCCCGGTTTACGATATTATTTCATTCCAGAAGTATGTTCAGGTGCCATTACTGAACGAATTTGTTCCCATAAGGAATATTGTGAATTATATTAGTCCATTTCAGACCCCCAAACATACACATACAAATGCACTTACATAATTGGTCGCATTGGGAGGTAATTGTAAACCGGGGGTCCCACTGTACATGAAGAAAACCCCTTTTAAACCATATATGACGTTTGCAACACTAACCTGTAATGTAACTCGTTGGGCCTTAGGGATCACATCGTCAAGAATTAGGGTGACCAAATAAGGGTTTGGTTGGTGCCTGCCACAAGACACTTCTACAACAGTAGACATAACAGAGTATGCAATGATTCTCGTCTGTTGACCACTTGTACACCATTCTGGCTGGTTATCTATTGTCGTTGTTTTTATGGTTGAGAGCAGAAGATTGGCAATCACATCCAAAGTACATGTCAACACTTTCACCAATACTAGTTAAAAAAAGAAAAAGTTTATACATTTATCAGTCATAGTTCAAAAAGATATTTTTAATACATTTTGTGCTAATTTTTGTAAAGAGCATATAATGATACACTGTATATTGTACTTATCTATCTATCAAACATACCAGCTGTATCCCACTGAGGTGGGGTGGCCCCAAAAGGAAAAAACAAAAGTTTCTCCTTTCAAATTTAGTAATATATACAGGAGAAGGGTTACTAGCCCCTTGCTCCCGGCATTTTAGTCGCCTCTTACGACATGCATGTCTTACAGAGGAGAACTCTGTTCCACTTCCCCATGGAGATAAGAGGAAATAAACAAGAACAAGAACTAGAAAGAAAATAGAAGAAAACCCAGAGGGGTATGTATATATATGTTTGTACAAGTATGTGTAGTTGTGACTAAGTGTAAGTAGAAGTAGCAAGATGTACCTGAAATCTGCATGTTTATGAGACAGAAAAGAAGACACCAGCAATCCTACCATCATGTAAAACAATTACAGGCTTCCGTTTTACACTCACTTGGCTGGGCGGTTGCTGTCTACCAACCTAGTACCTATAATATTGTACCTAACACTTGTTGATGGTTCTGGGGATCATAACTTGCAGCCTGGTCTCAAAACTGGGCCTTGTGAACTGGAAATGAAATATTGCAGGAAAAAGAGCTATTAAGAAACACAGGGAAACGAAGGTAAATGCATAATGAATTTATCGTACGTGTCGATTCTTCAAATACGTTTACAGGTGCAACCTTACTGACCTTAACAAGACATCTCTTAGTAAGAGAAGGCAGTGTTGGTGAAGAGATGGCATTAGGAAGGTTAACATCTTGTGCTCTTGACTCAGATACTTGGACAGAGTTCGAATGTCTGCCTGCAAGATAAATTTAACCTAATAACTCTATTTATACTTGTAATTGACCATTTACTATTTTAATATGATATTTGACTGGAAATATCATGTTACTAATAAAAAGTTCTTCAAGGGCAATCTATTTTGATAACTGCAATTTGCCTTAAAAATGGCTTAAACTTTTCTGTAAGTCTATAACAATACACTAGATTTTCTTAGGGGTAGGAATGTGTGTTATGATCCTAACTTTATGACTGATGCAACAATATAAAGGATACATTACCTGCAACAACCTAAAAATTACACCTAACAGGTCATGAGGAGCAATTGTCACAGATTCATTGACATCTGCAGTAATCATTTCAGCTATAAACTTCAAGGAATTTACAAGTCGTGTCACCGCAGCCAAGCGAGTCTGGAGGGGATCTGTGCTGATTTCTCCTAGGGATTCAAGAGGTGCCAAATGTATAGTGTACTCTCTTGTGTGCCTGTATGACTAGAAATAAACAAAGCTGCATGAGATGACAGGAAACCACATTTATGAATTATGAGTGACCATTGTACGAAAAATAATTTTTTTTTAAATTTTGCAAATAGCAGACTTTTAATTATCCAAGGAGTGATCATTCAAAATCACAATTAACTAACCAATTTCCAGTTAGGACAATAATCCCTGAACAAATGGAATAACAGCAAATTAATCCAGATCTGAGATTATATAAAAAGTAAATTAATATCAACTAAAGTGAACAATACAAATTATGCTGTAAACTTTTTGTTTTAAAACAGTGGCCATCTCCCACAGAGGCAGGGTGACCCAAAAAAGAAACACTTTCACCATCATTCACTCTATAACTGTCTTGCTAGAGGGGCACAGATACTACAGTTCAGATGCCCCTTGCCAATATTTTAAATAACATCTTTTTAACTTGGTAGTGTTTACCAATTGATACCATCAAGATTTAAACTTACCAACACTTAAAGTATAGACTAAGTTTTGCAGATAGCAACACCACCAGTTTTAATAAGATAATAAGACAGCCTTATTTTTGTATTCTAGTTCATTTTTCTTGTACAGCATATAATGCATATTGTACAATGGTGCACAATTGCTCCTGCCATCTAAGAGTTAGGAGATAACACATGTAGATTGGACAAATGGCAAAATACAAGTTTTATTATGCTGAATAGTATTTTTCAGGCAATTTCAGTATCAGAATAAAAAATATCATTGATTGCAATAATAAAACCCACATTATTTTTGTTAAAAGCCGGAAAAAACTTAACCTACTGTCCATGACTTTGATAATCTGATTGTCCTCACCCCTACTTTTTACTCAGATAATCAAGCATTAATTATTAACCCTTATTTTCAGATTCCATAAGGATAATATATTTAAAACTAGGTTCTGAATATACAAAAATATTAAATACTGGAACTTTAAATTTAAGTACTTTATACAGCATAACTACACTGGGTAATGTTGAGTTCCCTCACCTCTCTTTCTACAATGCCATCAAATAGATAGTCCATGAGACTATGGGCAACAGCCAAGAGCTGGGTAAGCTGCCTTCCTCTGGCCTCAGCCCGGCCCTGGGCCCCGCTGCCTCCCATTCCTGGTAATGGCAATGCAGCAAACACTTTTCCTGCCCTGGATACTGCATCACTTTGTCCCACTCTTGTTAAAGGATTGTCTAAGTACCCAAGAATATGCTCCTCAAGCACAGTCTAATTAATAAAGTATAATTTTAAATACAGTATAATGTCCTATATAATGCAAATAGTATTTCCATAAAGTATAGGTCAGCCATCACTAATCCGGCATAACTGGGACCTGTAGTGTGCCGGATTAGTGAGTTTGCCGGATTACATAGTGCCTAGGTTAGAATACACTTAATTGACCAATCAACAGAGACTCTTTCCTGCTACATCTTTCTCATTTTCATCACTGGCTTGCTGCTGTGGATTTACAACCATCTGCAGAATTTCTGAGTCAGTATAATGATGAAATTTGAAATTAGTGCCGGATTACTGATGGAACCAGGCAACTGATTGCCGGATTAGCGATGGCCGACCTGTACTGATTTTCAACACAACATACAATGATAAATGTATGAACATTATCAAACAAAGGCCTGGGAAATCTGAAAAAACTCAGGAATCAGGGAAGGCCTGATTCTTAGATACAGTGGATCTTCTTCTTTCTTTCAACGTACCAGCCGTATCCCACTGAGGTGGGGTGGCCCAAAAGGAAAAACAAAAGTTTCGCCTTTTAAATTTAGTAATATATACAGGAGAAGGGGTTAGATACAGTGGATATCTTTATTAATAACAATGTTCAGCTATGTAGGAGTCTTACTAGGGAGATTTTTCAAGTTAATGAAATTATCCACTGTATCTGAGTGTCATCTATTTATCCTTATCATTATTTACATACAATTCTAGTCTCGAAAAGATGCTTGCTTAAACTAGCTATGAGTATAAGGCACACACAGTGAAAATTAATATTTTGTAAAATATGTCATGGGTAAGTACTACACAATTTTATCCACAAATAAAGTAATTTTGTGTATAATTACCTTGTGAGGTAAGCACTGTCCAGGAGACACCTTTAAGTATTCATATAAACACTCCAATGCTGCACAATTCCACTGAAAAATTCATAATATCTTAGTACATAGTTACAATTGTATGTTATAAGTCTATACAGTGGACCCTTGACATTCGATACTAATCTGTTCCTGAGAGCTATCGAAAGTCGAATTAATTTTCCCCATAAGAAATAAGGGAAATCAAATTAATCCGTGCAAGACACCCAAAAGTATGAAAACAAAAATTTTACCACATGAAATATTAAGTTTAATGCAATAGAGTAATTACAATAACAACAATAACAATAGAATAATTGACACTTACCTTTAATGAAGATCTGGTGATGATTGATGATATGGGAAGAGGGGAGTGTGTGGATGGTGTTAGTGTTTAGAAGGGGAATCCCCTTCCATTAGGACTTGAACTGGCAGCCTCACCATGCTTTACCACACTGTGTATGCCACTACAATTCTTAAATCTTTCAAACCAACCTTTGCTGGCCTTAACTTCACTCACATCACCACTAGTTGCAGGCAATTTCTTTACCAAATCATCATGCACTCTGACACACGCACTCCACTTTTGTACTTTGCAATTATCTCTTTCTTCATTTCAATAGTCATTAGCACCTTTTTTCTCGAAGGGTTGGCACTAGAAGCTTTCTTGGGGCCCTTGGTTACTTATTTTGCAGAAACAAGCACCAAAAACAGTGATAATATGGATAACATGGAATGTACCAAATGTATCCTTAGATGCGTGCACACTGGCTGGCTTACAAACACTGGCACACATGGGGCAGTTCAGGCCACACGTGGACACGTCTCGTATGAATCGTATCGAATGTCGGGTTTTCCATCGAATGTCGAGGCGAAATTTTTGGGTTAAAATGCATCGAACGTCGGATTTATCGAATGTCGATGCCATCGAATGTCGGGGGTCCACTGTAGTTTCACAGACTGATATGAAGGAGTTGTAATCACATGTTAAATATGCTATTTTATATTATAATTATAGTATCACAGTTAGCCACATTCGTACTGCCAAAGAAAATTTGTATAATGTACATGAGTGGTTCCCAACCTCAAGTACACAAACTCCTTTTTAACCTCAAAAAATTTCATGGACCCACACCTGCTAATAGTTATATTTGAAGCTCCAGTAACTGAGAAAATCAAACACTGGCTGAGGAGCAATACTTGTCACACAGCTTTGTACAGTGGACCCCCGCTTAACGATCACCTCCCAATGCGACCAATTATGTAAGTGTATTTATGCAAGTGTGTTTGTACATGTATGTTTGGGGGTCTGAAATGGACTAATCTACTTCACAATATTCCTTATGGGAACAAATTCGGTCAGTACTGGCACCTGAACATACTTCTGGAATGAAAAAATATCGTTAACCGGGGGTCCACTGTATTTCCCTCGGCACACTCAAGTTGTCCTCAATGTGGATTTGCAGCCCACGGGTTGGGAACCACCACTGTACAGTATAAACACTTTAAATTACAAGTGCAGTATACTGTAATCTTAATGGAAAGATTATTACTTCTATTGATACAATGAGTCATTGATAAACAGTTTATACATATTCCTGTGCTAATGTCAAAAAATATATGAAAATACTGTAATTATAAAGATGCAATCACATGTGAAATAACATCACTGATACAGATACGAAGGAAATTCTTGGATTTACAAAACTTTTGACAATAAAAAGTGAATATTTTCTTCTCCCATGATTAGGACATTTAACATTCTCAAACTAAGCATTTAATACAAAAAATAAAAGCCATTCAAACCAAAAAATCATGACATAAAAATTATTACACTAAGTTTAAATAACCCAGAAAATAAAATTCCTGTGTGGCAAGATTTTGAAAAAAAAAAAAAAAAAATCTTAGTGTTGAGTTCCATTAAGTTTTGAAATGACTTGCTAAAGTTTTACACAGAGCAAAATATTACGTTCCAATAAAGGCTTATTCTGCAACTGTTGTCTTTGTTTTCAGGGATTAAACTGCAGGAACCATTAGCACTATAGCACTGCATGAGCCATATACTAAACGGAAATCCATCATGATGAAAATTGAGAATGCCATTAATGTTACCAAAGAATCAGCAGCAGCCAGATCTGTGACCAATGGAGCAGCCGGTTTGGACAACACAGTTCTCTGTAACTCTGGAAGATTGGGAAGTCCCTTAAGGATGATGATCATACTCTGACATGCATCAATCTTGGCTCTTGCACAATAACCTGAGTTGATAACCTGTGAATAAAAAAAATATTGTATTGAAAGAACCAATATTTTTTCAAAATTTTTTGACTTTAGATAAGTGTATGGTATGGACACAGAATTCTTAATGAAATAAATTCCCGAGTTTGGTGGGACAGTCACTGTTTGGCATTAACATTATTACAATCATAGGATAAGCACTAAAACCATAGGAAGCAAAAAGCCCCTTTGGGGAAACAGCAGGTAATCAGGCTCAATTAAAGGGAAAGGGAGAATCAGGTTAATTCCTTGGATCAAGAGCCCCTCACTGGCATCAAGGAGCCTCCTGGAGGGGCTACATATCCTGATCGATTGTTTTGAAATGACAATGGCATACACCACAGCTACTCTGGAGTGGGATACATCTGTAAAAACCTGCATTTGTAGTCACAGTGGGGTCCATGTTAACCTCCTTATGGTGTATAGAAATGTACTTACAGTTGGATGAATCTTATTAGAGCCAGCTGGCCCAGTGGTTAACACACTGGCCTATGAGTTTTAGCACTCACTTGCCCAGGGTTCAAGCCTCACCCGTTCCCTGTTTTAAGGGTTGCCAGTATATATACGTATTTTTTTTTTTTTTCAACAAGTCGGCCATCTCCCACTGAGGCAGGGTGACCCAAAAAAAGAAAGAAAATCCCCAAAAAAGAAAATGCTTTCATCATCATTCAACACTTTCACCACACTCACACATTATCACTGTTGTTGCAGAGGTGCTCAAATACAACAGTTTAGAAGCATTTCACATATAAAGATACACAACATATTTCCCCCCCAACTGTCAATATCCCAAACCCCTCCTTTAAAGTGCAGGCAATGTACTTCCCATTTCCAGGACTCAAGTCCGACTATATGAAATAACCGGGTTTCCCTGAATCCCTTCACTAAATATTTCCCTGCTCACACTCCAACAGATTTGTCAGGTCCCAAGTATCATTCGTCTCCATTCACTCCTACTAACATGCTCATGCACGCTTGCTGGAAGTCCAAGCCCCTCGCCCACAAAACTCCTTTGCCCCCCTCTCTCCAACCCTTTCGAGGACGACCCCTACCCCTCCTTCCTTCCCTATAGATTTATATGCTTTCCATGTCATTCTACTTTGATCCATTCTCTCTAAATGACCAAACCACCTCAACAACCCCCCTTCTGCCCCTGACTAATGCTTTTATTAACTCCACACCTTTTCCTAATTTCCACACTCCGAATTTTCTGCATAATATTTTCACCACACATTGCCCTTAGACAGGACATCTCCACTGTCTCCAACCGTTCCTCGGTGCTGCATTTACCACCCAAGCTTCACATCCATATAAGAGTGTTGGTACTACTATATTTTTCATACATTCCCTTCTTTGCCTCCATAGATAACGTTTTTTGACTCCCATATAAATCAACGCACCACTCACCTTTTTTCCCTCATCAATTCTATGATTAACCTCATCCTTCATAAACCCATCCGCTGACACGTCAACTCCCAAGTATCTGAAAACATTCACTTCTTCCATACTCCTCCTCCCCAATTTGATATCCAATTTTTCTTTATCTAAATCATTTGATACCCTCATCACCTTACTCTTTTCTATGTTCACTTTCAACTTTCTACCTTTACACCCCATTCTCAAACTCTTTCCACTAACCTTTGCAATTTTTCTTTAGAATCTCCCATAAGCACAGTATCATCAGCAAAAAGTAACTGTGTCGGTTCCCATTTTGAATTTTATTCCCCATAATTTAATCCCACCCCTCTCCCGAACACCCTAGCATTTACTTCTTTTACAACCCCATCTATAAATATATTAAATAACCCTGGTGACTTACACATCCCTGTCTAAGACCTACTTTTACTGGGAAGTATTCTCCCTCTCTTCTACTACCCTAACCCGAGCCTCACTATCCTCAAAAAAAGCTCTTTACAGCATTTAGTAACTTACCACCTATTCCATATACAGTGGACCCCTGGTTAACGAACTTTTTTCACTCCAGAAGTATGTTCAGGTGCCAGTACTGACCGAATTTTTTCCCATAAGGAATATTGTGAAGTAGATTAGTCCATTTCAGACCCCCAAACATACACGTACAAACGCACTTACATAAATACACTTACATAATTGGTCGCATTTGGAGGTGATCGTTAAGCGGGGGTCCACTGTACTTGCAACATCTGCCACATTGCTCCTCTATCCACTCTATCATATGCCTTTTCTAAATCCATAAATGCAATAAAAACTTCCCTACCTTTATCTAAATACTGTTCACATATATGCTTCAATGTATATACTTGATCTACACATCCCCTACCCACTCTGAAACCTCCTTGCTCATCCGCAATCCTACATTCTGTCTTGCCTCTAATTCTTTCAATTATAACCCTACCGTATACTTTTCCTGGTATACTCAGTAAACTTATTCCTCTATAATTTTTACAATCTCTTTTGTCCCCTTTCCCTTTATATAAAGGGACTATACATGCTCTCCACCAATCCCTAGGTACCTTCCCCTCTTTCATACATTTATTAAACAAAAGTACCAACCACTCCAACACTATATCCCCCCTGCTTTTAACATTTCTGTCATGATCCCATCAGTTCCAGCTGCTTTACCCCTTTTCATTCTACGTAATGCCTCACGTACCTCCACCACACTTACATTCTGCTCTTCTTCACTCCTAAAAGATGGTATACCTCCCTGGCCAGTGCATGAAATTACCGCCTCCCTTTCTTCCTCAACATTTAAAAGCTCCTCAAAATATTCTTGCCATCTACCTAATACCTCCCTCTCCCCATCTACTAACTCCCCTACTCTGTTTTTAACTGACAAATCCATACTTTCCCTAGGCTTTCTTAACTTGTTTAACTCACTCCAAAATTTTTTTCTTATTTTCATTAAAATTTCTTGACAGTGCCTCTCCCACTCTTTCATCTGCTCTCCTTTTGCACTCTCTCATCATTCTCTTCACCTTTCTTTTACTCTCCATATACTCTGCTCTTCTTATAACACTTCTGCTTTGTAAAAACCTCCCGTAAGCTACCTTTTTCTCTTTTATCACACACTTTACTTCATCATTCCACCAATCACTCCTCTTTCCTCCTGCCCCCACCCTCCTATAACCACAAAACTTCTGCCCCACATTCTAATACTGCATTTTTTAAACTTTCCAACCCTCTTCAACCCCCCCACTACTCATCTTTGCACTAGCCCACCTTTCTGCCTATAGTCGCTTATATCTCGCCTGAACTTCCTCCTCCCTTAGTTTATACACTTTCACCTCTCTCTTACTTGTTGTTGCCACCTTCCTCTTTTCCCATCTACCTCTTACTCTAACTGTAGCTACAACTAAATAATGATCCGATATATCAGCTGCCCCTCTATAAACATGTACATCCTGGAGCCTACCCATCAACCTTTTATCCACCAATACATAATCTAACAAACTACTTTCATTAGGTGCTACGTCATACCTTGTATATTTATTTATCCTCTTTTTCATAAAATATGTATTACCAAATTTCTTTCTACACATAGCTCAATTAAAGGCTCCCCATTTACATTTACCCCTGGCACCCCAAATTTACCTACTACTCCCTCCATAACATTTTTACCCACTTGAGCATTGAAATCCCCAACCACCATTACTACTCACACTTGATTCAAAACTCCCACGCATTCGCTCAACATTTCCCAGAATCTCTCTCTCTCCTCTACACTTCTCTCTTCTCCAGGTGCATACACGCTTACTATAACCCACTTTTCACATCCAATCTTTATTTTACTCCACATAATCCTTGAATTTATACATTTGTAGTCCCTCTTTTCCTGCCATAGCTTATCCTTCAACATTATTGCTACTCCTTCTTTAGCTCTAACTATTTGAAACCCCTGACCTAATCCCATTTATTCCTCTCCATTGAAAGTCTCCCACCCCCTTCAGCTTTGTTTCACTTAAAGCCAGGACATCCAGTTTCTTCTCATTCATAACATCCACAATCATCTCTTTCTTATCATTTGCACAACATCCACGCACATTCAGACTTCCCACTTTGACAATTTTCTTCTTCTTATTCTTTTTAGTAATCTTTACAGGAAAAGGGGTTACTAGCCCATTGTTCCCGGCATTTTAGTTGACTTTTACAACACGCATGGCTTACGGAGGAAAGATTCTTACTCCACTTCCCCATGGATATAAAAGGAAAAGTAATAAGACCAAGAACTATTAAGATAAAATCAAAGAAAACTCAGATGAGTGTGTATAAATAAACGTGTACATGTATGTGTAGTGTGACCTAAGTGTAAGTAGAAGTAGCAAGACATGCCTGTAATCTTGCATATTTATGAGACACACAAAAGACACCAGCAATCCTACCATCATGTAAAACAATTACAGGCTTTCGTTTTACACTCACTTGGCAGGACGGTAGTACCTCCCTGGGTGGTTGCTGTCTACCAGCCTACTACCTATACATGTATATACCTATACAGTGGACCCCCGGTTAACGATATTTTTTCACTCCAGAAGTATGTTCAGGTGCCAGTACTGACCGAATTTGTTCCCATAAGAAATATTGTGAAGTAGATTAGTCCATTTCAGACCCCCAAACATACACGCAAAAGCACTTTTCATAAATCACTTACATAATTGGTCGCTTCGGAGGTAATCGTTAGTGGGGTCCACTGTAATACACCTATAAAAAGTATATAATATAATTTTTTATATTATTATATTATGTACTTTACTTTTGGCGGACAAAAATGATCCAGAAATTAAACCTTGACATTTTTGGAGTAGCCAATGTTTTCATTTTTATTAATTTGTACAGTGAAGATTAAAACTCCTACATGTCACAGTATATTTTAAATCAAAATACTGTACACAGATTTTCACAAAGACACCCCACATAAAAAATGGGGGTTTATGCACTCCCTGAGACAAAATTCAACCACCCTCCCCTTGCTTGGTTAAACCCACGAGGGGGACACCTGTGGTACCAAGGCCAGTAAAAGCTTTATTCCATCTTCCCTAAAACAAAAAAAACTCATTAATTACATGTATACCAATGCTAAGCACAATAATAATAATAATAATTATTATTTTGTGAATATATTTAGAAAAAATCTAAGTGTTAGGGACCGATCATCGGGGTACTAGAGGAGGTGAACACAATTTCCCCCATTACCACTTCATGCAGTAGGCCCCAACAATCTAGAACAGAAAAATGCTGCATAATTTCCCCCCAAATGTAGTTTTTTTGTGAATTTTTCCCAGTCATGGTAAGTGACTTTTTTCTTCATTATTCATTTTCTATACTCATACAAAAGTAAAGCCAGTAATAACTTAAAAACAATTAAAAACTGAGAAGTATGAGTTTTTAAAATTATTTTTTTATTATTTTTATCACACCGGCCAAATTCCCCCAAAGGGCGGGGGGGGGCCCAAAAAAAAAAAAACTTTCACCATCTTCACTCCATCACTGTTTGCCAAAAGGGTGCTTTACACTACAGTTTTAAACTGCCCTTAACACCCCCCCTTGAGGCAGGCACGATTCCCATTCAGGATCAAGTCGGCCTCCCGGTTTCCTAAATCCCTTAAAAAATGTTACTTTGCTCACACTCCAAAGCCGTCAAGTATTAAAAACCTTTTCCCCATTCATCCTATAAACACGTCACGATGCCTGCTGGAAAGTCCAAACCCCCGCACACAAAACCCCCTTTACCCCCCCCCCCCCAAAACCCTTCTAGGCCCACCCCTACCCCCCCTTCCTTCCACTACAGACTGATACACTCTTGAAAATCATTCTGTTTCGCTCCATTTCTCTCACATGTCCGAACCCCTCAAAAAACCCTTCCTCAGCCCTCTGGCAACGTTTTGGTAACCCGCACCCCCCCCTAACTTCCAAAATCGAAATTTTCTGCTTATTTTCACACCCACTTCCCTCAGAAGACATCTCCACTGCCTCCAGCCTTCTCCTCGCTGCAACATTCCCTCACCCAGCTTCAAACCCATATAAGACGTTGGGAAAAAAATTTTCTCTCTACATTCCCCTCTTTGCCTCCAAGGACAAAATTCTTTGTTCCACAGACCCCCTAAATGCACCACTCATCTTTTCCCTCATCAATTCAGGATTCCCTCATCTTTTATAGACCCCTCCGCTGAACACGTCCCCTCCCAAATATCGAATAGTTTTACCCCTCCATACTCCCCCCTCCAATTGATTTCAATTTTCATCACCTAATCTTTTTGTTTCTATAACCTTATTTTCCTGTATTTACCTTTAAATTTTTTCTTTTGCACACCCTACCAAATTCATCCCCCCAAACCGCAACTTCTCTCAGAATCTCCCAAGACCAGTGTCATCAGCAAAGAGCGCGTGACAACTCCACTTTGTGTGTGATTTTTTTCTTTTAAATCCCGCCCCTTGCAAAACCCTGCTTTACTTCTTTACAACCCCCCTATAAAAATATTAAAAACCACGGTGACTCACACATCCTTGTCTAAGGCCTACTTTTAATGGGAAAAAATTTCCCCCTTTCCTACATACTCAATTTGGCCCCCTATCCTGTAAAAACCTTTTTGCTTTCAGTAACCTACCCCCTAACCATACACTTGCAACACTGCCCATTGCCCCCCTATCCACCCTGTCATACGCCTTTTCCAAAACCATAAAAGCCCACAAGACCTTTTCCCTTATCTAAATACGTTCACTTATTGTTTCACTGTAAACACCGGGGCCAAACCCCCCCCTCCTTTTCCCAAAGCCTCCTTTTTCTCTGCTATCCCATTTTTCCGTCTTACTTTAATTCTTTCAATTATTTATTGTGTAAAGAAAA